TCTATTATTGACTGCCCTGTTGAACTTATTGCTGGACACTCATGGTATAATACTGTATCCACTGTCTTAGTTTAGTGTCCGTGTCTCTAAGTATCGGTGGTTAGCGCTCTCTGAGCGTCTCTAATGCACGATGTTGGAGTACGAATGTATCTACAATATGTATCCGATGACCAACTTCCCAGTATTTTTATTAGGTGATCTTGAACGTGGGCTGCTGAAGCACTTGTCGCGGTCCCGATGCGGAAGCTGTGTCCATTGTACTCGTTTGAGTTAATGCCTAAACATTCTAGCACATGTTTGATTTTTTCGATAAATACGTTCCTAGTCAAGACTTTGCCATTCTCGTCCACGAACAGGGGGTCATCTTGTGACGGGTTTTGTTGCTGTCTCGCTTCCATATATTTACAACAAGCGACGTATGGGCATATAGAGTTATCGGTCTTGAACAATTTCAAAGTGATTCCTTCCCTGAAGGGATCCGTCTTGGATGTCTTTAGACGGAGTAGCACATATTCGTCCGCTATGACCAGATCTTCGACACAGATATTGATATTGCGGTCAAAGTAACATTTGACAATAAACTCCCCGCACCTCAAGAAACCGAAAAAGGCCACTATACACACGGTTTCTAACATGAGGTTACCAAACGAGGCGGCATTTGAACGTAAATACACACTTATTGCTTTTAGAATATCAAATGTCACTGGATGTCGTGGTTTCGTTACCTTAATGTTGGTTCGTTTCACGCCTCCTAGAATGACTTGCATTCTATTCAATTTGGCACTATTGGGGTATGTAATGTTGTTCTTCATGCACATGAACCGGATTCCACACACGTATAACTTAATTGTCGTATAAGTTAGATTAATACTATGGCAGTAAGCTACGAATTGTATCAGCAGGTCCTCTGTAACACACATTCATGCTAAGTTGACACTGTTGATGAGGCCGGCCATTAGTAGAAATTGAACGAATGTATTATAACCCGTGTGGTAAGTTTTTAAGGTACTTGTGGCTAATGCCGCCTCCCAAAGGTCTTCGACTACTCTCCCTACCTCCAGAATACCTCCGATGGATGTGGGACCTGGCATGGCAGGCGGTTTGCTTCCGGGGCTAGTTCTCGGAATCGACGAATCTGCAAACGAGATAGAGAATCCGCGATGAGGTTACTTTTGCCTGGGACATGCCGAGACATGACCACAAACATGTTCATAGCAGCACACATAGTAAGACGTCTCATTAAAGGCATGATATGGGAAGCTTTAGAGCGTCATTTATGTAGAACAGACACAGTAGCTGTGTTGTCACACATAAACATGATCCTCAAACCCTTCCACAAATGACCCCATATCATGGAAGCCACTACAAAAGGGTACAGTTCCTTAAAGGCTATTTATAGTTCTTCCTCGCTATTCGCGTGTTCCTGCATTGGTGATGGCCATGCTTCTGAAAACCATTCACTTTGCATGTATCCACCGTAACCTAGTGTGCCGGACGCATCAGTAAATACTTGTAGGTCATCAGTTGATCTGATTTGGCGGTCGTAGAATATGGCTGTCCCGTTCCACTGAGCCAAAAAGGTCAACCACATTCGTATGTCTTTCCTGCATTCCTGATTTAGCTTGACATGGTAGTGTCATGGTTTGACGGTAGTTGACAGCTTGATAATGTGAGAAATAAAACTCTTGCCTGGGATGATTACCTTGTTCGCGAAATTGAGATGCCCCAGAAGCTGTAATAAGCTGTAATAGTTCTCTTTTGGTGCACAACTGTCGGCTTTGGAATGATTGTAGCATCTCGGTATCGCGTTTTAATTTGTCTTCGTGTTGTCTGGCTTCCATATAATGGGAGTCTAAGATGATACCCAAGTACTCCATAACAGTCTCGGGTCCACATGTTTTATGGAGGGCCATAGGGATGTTAAGACGGTTAAATATCAAATATAACAACGTCATGTTTTTTCTGGCCACATTTTCCTGGCTCTTCAAATGTTATAAAATCGTCCAAGAGATGCAAGATGTGAGCTATACCGTAATTGTGTTGCGCGATCCAGCATATGGCTTGCGACAAATTGTTAAAGATTTTTGGGCTAGACCTACACCCGAAAGCCAACCTCGTATAGTAATAGTAATTACCTTTCCAACAGATGCCGAACAGATGTCACTGTGATGGATGAATAGGCAGTAATTTGAAAGCGTCCGAAATATCTGTTTTACACATTGAAGTATTCTTTCCTAATGTTTGTATCAATTTGATAGCATCGTCTATGCGCACATAAGACAGGGAACAATCCTCATTACATATTAGGTCGTTGACACTCGGGTGTTCGTCATTGTCGTGTGGTGAAGATAGGTCCACTATCAAACGGGGTTTACCAGAGTTCTTCCCATATGACACCCCTATTGGACTGACTCTATAAGTTGAGAATGGTAATTTATTAAAGGGTCCTTGTAAAAATCCTTTTTTAGTCTCACTTAGAATAAGATTGTCGACAGTGTTTTCGTCGTTTAAAGCCGACATTAGGTTTCTACATTCTTTAATGGGAAGAGATCCTACCACCATAGTATCATATCCATGTGTTAGTCCATCGCATAAATAGTTCACAAACTCGCGGTCCGGATGACCGGTCAGTTCATAGCTCAGTCGTTCAATATTGACCGGAGTTGTTGCCACTTGTCATTGACGGGAGTTAATGTTACTGTCGTCACTTTGGGGTTGTTTGTGTGTTTTCCGGCATGCCTTAGCTCCGTGGTTGGTTGATTTACAGTTCGAACACATGTGGACGAAATTGCACAGACTGCCGTACTGACACCCCCCCATCATTATAATTGTTGCAAACTTCGGATCCATTAATCTTGATTCTTTTCCGGCCAAGTTTGTCCAATTTCTCTCCATTCCTGGCTTGTTGTTGGGGGTTCTTAAGGTTATTTGCGTTACCACTATACACGGACTTCTTAGATTGTTGCTGGGGACAGAACGGCGTTTGATGTGTGGTGGAGTTACACAGTTGGCACGTGTTAGCCCTAGCATTGCCTATCACCATGGCCAGAATGCCATTGTCTCTGATGGCCCAGTTTACCCTTTGTCGTCTGTCCCTCAGAGCAGTAGCTGTCTTTAACGCAAATTGACAATGGTAATCATAAAACCTCTGGCCGTATACGTTGGCAATCTCAATGATGTTTGCTTCGTGACTGTCCATCTCTGACCGACGCGTCGGGAATTTTTCGCAAATGACCCTTTTAATTTTCCCAAAAGCAGTCACAAATTCCGATATGGTCAAATGTTTATTCAACCTGGGGTCCTCAACTTGATCATTAATGTGGACATTAATGCCAGGCTGTTTATCTTCTGTCTCGTATTTAGGAATTAACAGGGAGGCCAGATTGATGTATCTCCCCTCGAGGATTTTCTTTTTGCTATTGTCAGACACAATGTCCAAGTGAGGGATGCTCTCGGACGAGATGCCATCAGATAAAGAATCAAAGTAGTTACCTGATTGTCCTGTAGAGCTCGTGGTAACCGCAGCGTGTGTGTTGGTCACCGCGTATGATTTCTCCAACGTGTATACGTCTGTGGGTTGACGTTCCTTATTGCTGTTGGAGACGAGAGTGATTACAGTCTGCTGCAGGTCCATCATTGTTTTTTGCATACCCTGCATTGACGAAAGGAGTCCCTCCACAACATTCACACTGGGCGCGGCCATGTTTGTTGACGTACGCGTACGCATACCCACTTCCGGTGTGATGATGGGTGATGCGGTTGACAGAGCCTCGGCACATCGAAGTAGTCCCGTACAATTTTCGGATGTACTAGCACTCGTGGTGTTGACGTCCGACACGGGCATAGGTGTTAAGCCACTATTGTCATTGTCTGAACTAATCACGTCCTGGTTCGAATTCACTAGTCCCCGAACTGGGCGGCCACGTACAACCCCACTTTCACGCCGCCTTCCCACATTTTCAAGATACATAGTTTTAAGTGCGGCTTTCGTAATTCCCGTTAATGGTGCGAGGATGCCGATCTTGTCCAGCTCAGATCTTAACTGTATGATTGTCCAGTTGTTTGGGTTGGAATTATCCCACGGGACGGTTCTGGTTGTGGTTCTCGACCTACGGCTCGCCATGTTAACAATTATCACTTTTGGCGCGCAGCGAATGTTTTGGTTTTCGATCCGAACTGTCGGATCTCCTTTGGTTCTCGACTATTTTTAACGCCTACATGTTTCCTTGTTATTATGTTTGTAGTTATATATATCCGTAGGATCCAAAGAATTCTTACAAAATATCGGGAGACTAAACTGTGTTGTTCTTATCGCTACTGCTGCTGAATGATCGAGTGACGCTATTAATCTGGTCCTAAGCTCTTAGCCAATCAGATACACTTGCATAATTAAGTGACGCTAACTAGTTCCCCTTACCCAATCAGAAAGCTATATAGTGTACACGTGATCATAAGACTTGTATTTCTAGCCATCTTGAGATACACATTTTGGTAATCTCAAAAATGTAAATATATAGGTATCGTCACGCACTCTACACTAGTACACCTAGCGATTTTCGTCGGACTTATAAGTAAGGGTATGCTGTGTAGTACTCACTTAACATGACTAATCAAGCTTGTGCTTGATTAGGGGGTTATTATTTGTTCCATTCAAACATGGCTTTTATACAAAAGTCTCAACTTAGACCTTCATATCTCACAGAAAATAACACAATCGCCTTAACGCTTTATCATAAAAAAAATAAAAAGAGAAAACAGCAGCAATGACAAGAATTACGTCGATACAAAAAAGACAACAGCAAACAACTGGGAATTAATAAAACAGAAATAGACATCATGTAACCTGTGTGGTTTATGTGTAGCAATACACCACCGTCTGCTTACTGAACAGTGACGCCCTGTCAGGCAAAATGATTAATATAAGCACTTTTTCTCAGAAAACATTCAACTTAATATATTGAAGGTCATGTACATGCTAGCTATATAACCAACATAAGCGATTGTCCTCAGTTTATCTGTACATACATCATGGGAGACGGAAGGATTATGTTGTTGCTCTTTGTATGTAATATATTTGGTACTCAAAATTGATTGCGTGGAAGTTAATTTCGGCAGTTATTGATTGTTTCCATATCTTAACCGAAACTATAATTTGAATAAGAACATTATTGATTTCGATAGCTATCATGGCCATTTCACTGTGTAATTCAAGTTAAATGAAATAGTTCTATTTTATTTCAGATTGTGGCGGTGCTAGTATTTCAGGAGTCCAGTGGGCAGTTTCCACCTCAGATACCTGGTAAATGGCGGAACCCGAACATAGAGCGTTATGTCCAAAGCCTCTGTAGAGTAAGTTCGAGTGTTATTGGGTAAACTCTATTAGTTCGGTGTGTGTATTTGTATAGCTGTGATACCAGTTTTACTTTTAAAATGTGTTCCTAATGTAAAGAATGTGCACAACAACATAGGCTGCTATCAAGATTATACCAATTCGAATCAGTATCATGTGGTTTTTTGGAAGTAAGCAAAAAAAACATCTTTGATACTGTAGTAAATTGTTACTTTACAATTGTTGTATTTACATATATAAATGAAGCATCATTAGAACAAAAAATAGTATATGAGTATAACTGCGATTGTTACTTAGCATACACATTAACATATTCAATTATTATTTTTGAAGTCTGAACATTTCGTGCATAGCACAGAACCATTTCATCATCGTATTTTTTATACACATATATATACATATAGTACAAATTTTCATAACTTTTGGTTTTTGGTTTTAGTTCCATAATTGATTTCCCCAAGCACTGTGATTCTAATTTAATTACATCATCTATTATACACTTTCAACTCGTATATTTAAATTTCTTTCACACTAACAGTAATCACATTCTATTCTCTAACTGAACATTTGTTTTTTTCTATTTTCTTTCACTCTAACTTTTGTGTTAAGTGCTGGTGGTGAGTTTCAACTCTCATTTATCTCGCATCGATCATTATTGGGAATTATTTTATTGGAGATAAATTCGTCTTTAGGATTTTTTTTATTTTCAAATCAGTCATCTTGTTGTCGAAAAGAAGTTAAGTTAAGTCTCAACACCTTTAACATATGTCAGACAAATTATAAAGTTAAACTCATATGAGATATATATCTTTCCATGCACATATACATATGAATTAAACGTGTAAATTGAAATAACAGATTTGTTCACTTTTGACATACATTAGAGTGAATAATAACAGTTGTATGCTTCAATCATCTATGAAATAATATAACTGATTTTCGTTGATATTTTTTCGACAGTTCATGCAGTGTCCTGGTATTGAAGGCGTGTGTGACCTGAGACCTTACCCATGCTTTTCTCCTCCATGTGATGTCGGGCCGACCTGTATCCCTAGTATGTATATACAACCAACAGCATTACAACTATAGCTAGTTACACAACACAAGTAACACTGTATTGTTAACACGAATAATTATTAAAAAACCTTATGGATAAAGCCTCACGAGAGGTTCCGTTTCTGAGATCGAGACCCTTCAAATATGGTGGCTGAATTTGAAAATTAGTAGATATCATTGAAAAATATTGTGCACCTAATCTATATATAACACAGCTGCTACTATTTAGTATTGTCTTTGCATAGCGAAAGGATATTATATTATATTGTTAGGTGAAGATTTTATATGCCACTGTTCGTATGATTTTATTTAAATAGACGCTAAATGTTTCCTACTTATTTTCATTGTTCTATCTAGTTTTCCAAAACATAGATTCTGCCCATTTCATATTTGATATGTTCTGTCTAAAACCATAGTTAGTTTTCAACTATTTCAATAGTATGATGTTTTCGTCTTCCTCAGGTCCAGGAAGTTCTTCGAAACCGGGCAATTGCCCTTCTCCTTTTAACATATGGACACGACAGGTCAGGTGTAACACAGACATAGCTTGTTATAATTCAGAGATATGTTGTCACGGATTCTTCGGAAGCGAATGTAGGGCACCGGAACCATTCATGTTCTAAGAGTCCGATGATCAATGTGTTGGAAATCAAATAAAACCTAAGTACACAGTGAAATGTGAATATTGTTGATGAGTTTTGTAATGTGTGCTATTATTCGATACTTTAGGGCAATAAGACGATAAACGATTAGTATTTTCTAATTTTCAGAAGATTTCTTTATATATATACATACGATCTTACACGAGTTTCCCTATCATATGAGATTTACAAAACGAGTCTAAAAATGTTTCAATTTAGCGAGCCTCTGGCGAGCTAGAATGAAAAATTCACGACGAGTTTCGTAAATTTCGTAAGAAATGAAAACGAGTGTAAGATCCTCTTTATCACATACGCAAGATTTGTGGCATTTATTCGTGTAAAATGATGTTTTTCATGCAACCTTGAACTGTAAAAATCCGTCATTTTGACTCTAGTCCGTAAGTCTGTGACGTCATGAACTTGTCCTAAGCAGGCGTCACAAGTAAAATAATTAAAACTTACAACCAATCACAGGGTTGATAGGTTAAAATACATGGGTAAATACGCAACAAAATATGACATTGGTATATTCACTCGATAACACAGCACATCTTGTAAAAATAAAATGAAAAATACTTTTGTTACAACAAAAACAAGACCAAGGACTGCAATGTCGTACAAAATGCACATTGGTTGAAATCACCAATGCCGGCAATGGAAACAATTTTAACACTCATGAACTCATGCAATTTATCAGAAATATCGTCTGTTACACTGCACTGATCAACAGGGGTTCGTTACAAATGTCTGAAATACACATATTCTTTAGACCCGCTTTCACATATGTTACAGACCTACTGATATGAGTCACAGAACACATAAACATTTCAAACATTTGTAACGAACTCCTGTTCTCCGTCGCAAGATCACTCACTTCAAACGATATCAGTTTCACTCGTCTTGCAGCCACGGTTTCCTTAGTTTCTGACGACATGTCAATTAACGAGGTTGTTATAGAATCTACCGTCTGTAGTTCAGAATCCCATACAATCAACAAATAAATCCACGTCTGGATTCCTCACAAAATGAGCAAAGAGAAAAGTTCGAATTAACTTACGGTGTTCACTGTATTTATTCATGCCCAAAATTTGATCCGGGGAAAAATCGAAACAATTTCAAATTTAACTTTCAGCTCAGAGTTCTTTTGATAAACTTAAATCACCCTATAGACATATTATACTGTATTGTGGAATAGTGTTTGTTAAACTTTCAAAGTATTACTTTGTTTGCCAATCAGCTAGCGACAACACGCTGTTCCAACTATTGAACGAATTTGTGTGGACTGTCGATAAGGCGGGAATTACAAATTTTAAATATCAATTTTAAATTAAAAAAGAACATATAAGAGGCACAGAAAACGTAAATATAAGTATTGAACTGTTTTTGTATGGTATTTATGATCTATTTGAATGACACAGCTTTGCAAGCAAACAAATCATAATGCACGCAATGCTTAATTAAATACATATAAGATTGACATACAATCAGAGTGTCCATTTACACGTTTAGTTGGCCTCAATGGATAAGCTTGATGTTTTATGTTTAGGCTGATGTCTTTAAACGGTTTTCATTTTTTGAATCAATCAGTCCCTGAATTGAATTATGGTATCTTATGTGCACGTGATTATTGAAAAAATAAGAGATTTTTATTCAAAATTAAATTATAATTTATGTAATCTCCATTGTTTAAGTATATTAATTATTTTTATTTCAAAATTACCAAACTTGCGTGTTAATTTTTATTTTTTATCGAAGCAATGAAACTCGAATACATCTATGTCGCATTTTTTTATTTCTACCAGTGTATCGCTCAAAAAAGGAACTATAGTCATCATGACATAATCATAAAACACATAATTTCTGTAAAAACAATTGTCATGTTTGTCAATAACTGGCCCCTGGAGGGTTGGCGTTGACAACTTTCCTTTTATATGCTTTGCTAGCCTTTCTTAACTTACCAACGGTAGACTATATGTATGAAGATGTAAATGTACATTGGGAGAGGAGAAGTCACCATTGGAGAAGCTTATTGCAAAGCACGTTCACCAGAAGCATTGGACAAGCAAACAAGAACTATTCAAACCGCAAAACATTGTAGATGTTAATGTTGGATGTAATGAAACCTAAACGCCGATTAAATCTGCGGAAAATTCACATTGCAATAAATATTCCTTGGCGAGAAGAAAAACATTTTAATCATTTCTACATACAAAAGTGGTCGGTCTTTGTACTCACAAACTAGTGTTTTCATTTTTCAAAATTTCCTTTATTTATTTTTGTACTTATTTGGTTTATTTCCTGATGAGAATCTTTTAGCGGTACATTTAATCCAAATTCATTGTTCATTGTTCCAGATATGCCAAATAATAATAGAAGATAATGCATTTGGAAGACGCTAATAACCCTTACATGGACATTTGTATAATTATTTTACAATTCTGAAAAAAAGGATTCTGTAGAAAAGAATGCTTTCCGATTGTTCATGTTATAGTAATAATTCTGTCTCACCCATCATTTTTTGTGATATGTATCATAACCATCATCGATACACTAAAAAGGTCAAATTGATAAAATCAGATAATGTGTAATCAAATCTCTTTTGTTTCTCGAATGCCATGAAAAAAGATTTCGCTTCCGGACGTGTTAGATGAAGTTTTTCACCTTTTAAACAACTTGGCCCAGATTGATATGAAAAAAGTTCTACAAACATGAAAACATAATATTTTGTCTTTTTGTTATTATTATATAAGCAGTCATACGGAAACTGATTTGTTTTGACAGGTTTGTTAACATCCCAATCAATTTATGAAACAAAACATTATAAGCTGAAAAATAAACTTTCGCTGCTGTTATATAAATTCCCTTATATAACATTAAAATTACTAATATGCTAACTTTGCAGTAGTTTATGTAGAGTTCCTGAATGCCCGTGCAACGTAATTCTTTCCCATCAATACTCAGGAACTGAGGCCTAAAATGGGGGCACAAGGTCACCAACAACTGAAATACCTAATAACTTTATCATTTTTAGTACCATGTGTCAACTAATAAGCGGTTACATATGATATACGTATGTTACAGTGTTTCATATGTTTAATGATTTCGAAACAAATCTATATTTATATTGTAACAATTACCAATAAATTTACGACGTTAGACTTACAAAAGCGATCCTTTCTGCAAATAATACATTTCCATTTTAATTCCAGTATCTCTCGAATCACCAAGCGTCTTACGCTTGATTCTCCGTTTAACAATATTAACAAGCGAAACAAAATATAAAATAATTTAGTAAACAAACACGTTTCAAACGCCAAAAACAATACAATAGTCATAAAATGCTTAAAATATTTGTATATCTATTAACGGAAGCTGCGGCAAACGTCCTATACATGCATGATGATAATGTTTGAAAGAAGATGTAGATATATCAATAGATAATATTTATTGATATATCTACGTTTAGGTTGTAAGTTATAGATATGACTCCCTCTATATTTTTTAGAAGGAGACATATCTATACAATGATAGTAAACAAGCGCAATATTGTATGAAATATGATAAACATGTATTACCTGAGGTATCATAGCGTATGGTTAAAATATCTGCTGAATATATTTTTCCTAAAGCAATAATCAATACATAATAACTCTACGTTTGAAGTATTTAATCATACCTTTACATATTTACGGCGATCGATAAACACTTTTCGCTTGTCACAGTATGCTTACACATGTTTCAAAATACTTCATACATGGTTTTGCTATTCTTTTGATCTAAAATGTCATTCATGATTCCTAAATGTAAGGAATTGCCAAAGGACGTTAGCCTGGCTGACGATCTGAAATCTGAATAGAGACAGCCATTCTATCTCCGTTTTGTGACCTCTTCGCTGGTTTTCTGATCGCGTTGAGCTAAAATCAAAATCAAAAAAGAGGAAAATGACTGTCTCCGATCAGATTTCAGATCGTCAGTCTTGCTAACATCTTATGGCTATTGAAAACTCGGTTGTCCGACATAATATTATAAGGACATGAACTATAATACAAATGAGTTTAATTCTCAGAAGCACTGTTCTGACATTGAATAACGTACATTCAGTGAGTTTCGCGCTACCAACAAGGTATGTATCATGTCGTCTCCGAGACAACAGCGTCCGACCAACTTCAATCCGGCTTTTGACGTGATATGAAGTATACGGAACATTTACAGCATGATACGTAGTAAATCATATGTAAAATTGAAGAAATTGAAGTTTATCGATCAATACTGCCCCCGGCGTGATTTTTTGAAAGGTTTTTCTGGAACAAGGTCATTTAAATAGGGAAATATTTTTTTTGATAGTTAGTAACATTGATTATGTTATAAGTTTACGGACAAACGAGGCCGGTAGAGGAATTATCAAAACGTATCTTGAAATGAAAACGGCTGTACTTGTTGTTACTTAGATTTTGAGGCTTGAAGTTTATCAATTCTACAATCATTCTCAACAAATGTTTTGGTATTGAACACATGTTTTCACAACATAAAATGCCTTCTCGTATATTCATAATTGTGATATCAACGACAGCGATTACCTAGTGTAGTATACTGGAGAAAAATGGTGTATTCCAATTTCAAGTGATTTTAGGTCACCTGAGACAAAGTCTCAAGTGACCTATTGCGATCGCCTTTTGTCCGGCGTCGTGCGTCGTGCGTCCGTAAACAATTTACATTTTCGACTTCTTCTCCGAAACCCCTGAACCAATTTCAATTAAATTTTGCAAAAACCTTCCATGGCCAAAGGTCAACCAAAATTGTGAGTAATATGGTCACAAGCCTTGGGGCTTGAAGGGCGGGGCCAAAAAGGGTCAAATTGACTGGAATTTCAAAAATTTTCTTCTCAAGATCGAGATATGGTAGAATCAAATAATCTTCATAGATGGAAGGGTCTTAAAATGCTTTACAAAAATAGTGAATTTCATGACCCTTGGGTCTTACTTTTCCCTTTTGGGAGGGGGTAAACTTTACTATAGTTTATATAGGGAAATCACATTTTGGACCAGCATTTGTTTAATTTCCTTTGGAATTAATTCAAACTTGGTTAGCATTATCGGTATTGGATAGCAGTTTCATGATATGCACTAATCAGACCTGACTGACCCCCAGGGGCTGTGTGAGTGCCAAAAAGGGTTGAATTGACTGAAATTTCAAAAATCTTCTTCACAAGACCAAGATATGATAGAATTGAATACTCTTCATAGATGGAAGGGTCTTAAGGTGCTTTACCAAAATAGTGAATTTCATGACCCTTGGGTCTAACATTTACCCCTGGGGCTGGGATAAATTTTACTATAGTTTATTTAGGGAAATCACATTTTGGAACAACATTTGTATAATTTCCATTGGAACTAATTCAAACTTCGTTAGCATTATCAGCACCGGATAGAAGTTAGATGATATGCACATATCAGCCCTGACTGACCCCAGGGGCTGATGGGTGGGGCCAAAAAGGGTTGAATTGACTGAAATATATGGTAAAATTAAATACTCTTCATAGATGGAAGGGTCTTAAGGTGCTTTACCAAAATTGTGAATTTCATGACCCTGGGGTCTCACGTTTCCCCCTGGGTAGGGGGTAAACTTTACTATAGTTAAATTGGGAATTATATGGTCAAGATCCAGATATGGTACAATCAAATAATCTTCATAGATGTAAGGCTCTTAAGGTGCTTTACCATAATTCAGTTGACTGACAGAACCATTATTTGTACATAGTGCATATACTATCCAGATCTTTCACACTACTTTTGCATTACATGTAGTTCAAGTTACCTTTATTACAAAATGATTTCTTTTTCATTTGGCAACATCGATAACATCAGTTTTTACATAACTCAGGTGACCGTTAAGGCCCATGGGCCTCTTGTTGTATCAATTACTCTGATTAATAAACGATGAACCTGTAAGTCGATATATACCTTATGTTAAAATTATGTTATATTATTTACAGAAAATGTGATGCAAAAAAAGAAAGACAACTCGTACTCATTACATATAAAAGAAGCACAATCTCTGAGAAGCAATATCTACCTAGAGTTGTCATTACTTGAGTGTAAGGAACGATAACTCTTGATAAAGATTGGTAGAAGAAGCTGCAAGGGCTGATTTTTCATCATGCTGATTATTCCTAAGACAGATTAACCAAACTTGAGAAAAAAGTTAGTAAATCAATCCGTGTCCTAAAGTGTATTTAATAGTGATCTAAATATTAACAACAGAGGTGTGCGAACATTCATGACAAATATCATCTTAAATTCTCAGGTTTAGATTTTTCGTTTTTATCATGATAAATTATCAGGTTTAGATGTTTTTCATTTTTATAACGAAAATGATTAATCAACAACAAGACTGTTCATTTTCTAATTGTTTATTTCCCATTTTATATCTAGATACCCTGAACATTTTATAATTTGAATCTTTGTCTTTCGTGCATATTATTCGGCGTATTGGTTTATACGTTTATTTCCCTTTCATTATGAATTGTGGGCACTTGTAATGGCAGCACGTGCAGTATCGATATGTGTAAATCCGGAAGCTTCTCTTCACGAACTTTCCGCTTTGGGGGACAAAGCAATAAGTCGGGATATTGTAGATCCTGGGAACATCAGGGCGACAGTATAGCCGGGAACCAGTGGCGTAAAGACAAGTCTTCCTGAAAGTGGAATGTATACACCGGATAAGGTCAACCTATCTCAGCGTATCTCTCTCCTGAAAGCAGGAGTTCAATGGATGTATAAAGAAAAATAATAGGATGCTTCAAAAACGACTAGGGGAGTTTAGGGTCGTTTCCGATCTCAGCGGGGATTTAGAACTAGTTGTTATATTCTTAATTTGGGATAAATGAAGTACGAATATGTGAAATTTCAAGTTCATTTGACAACTGGTACAGGAGATATGGCGTAACAAAGAGAGGTATAAACCCGCATATTCACTATAAATGAATGAATATCTATTGTCTGCTTTTTACAGCCATTTTGAAGCAAATGAACAAAACACTATTCAATTTTTAAAACTCTCTGCATACGTCAACGAAATAAATATGTGGTATGCGTAGGAAGGAACGTTTTGGTTGTCAGATGCGGAATGTTTTATTTTTGTATGCTAACTGTCCAAATACACCATATTTTGGCTATTTCTGCATAGCAACTCAACTTTGTTACTATGTTTGGGCATCATTGCAAGGCAATGAAAAAAATCTGCACCAGGAAAGATAACTCCAATATGATGTTTTTAAAAGAAATCGGTAAATAAAATTAAGTTGAACATTTTAATCTCTATAAGGCCGACATTGACCCTTATTATCTTATTTGATATCACACTTTCACAAGAGGATATTATTGTTATGCAAATAAGGAAAACATACTCAATTGGTATAAAAGTTTCAGTTGTTTCATCATACTGGTAAAAATACAAAGGCTTTTATAACTAACAGAAACCTTCCGTTGGCATATACTGATTGAACCACGTGATCGGAGGTATTTTTAGCTTTTGTGATATAAAAGGCGATGTGACGTTAATAAGACCTGGGCGTTTTGCGGTAGGTGATTGGTTGGAAGATCAAATGGATGACTAAAATGTGATTTGTCTACATGAAATGAATTAGGATTTAAATGGGTAAACACACCAACTGCGAAATGTTCACGAACAGAAAAGCATAGCAGACAATAAGGAATTTACGTCGATTTGAAATGGAACAAACTTGCTGAGTAGGTCACAAACAACATAGTGGTAAAGGTTAATAGAATCTTCCTCTACCTTGAGGGTATGACTGAAAAATCTCCTACCTGAGGGGTGAATTTTTGGTTGACAACCAACAAAATTCACCCCAAGGGTAGGAGCTTTCTCCGTTACACCCTCAAAGTAGAGGATGATTATATTTCTCCTATCCTATTATTTAAGTCACCACTCCACCGACAATAATCTGCCTTCTTTGTAGACAAACACACATGTTGGGTATGATTATTTTCATTCCCTTTTGATGACGTCACACTTACACTGGTGACTCATTTTAATCACGTCACAATTGAACACGTGCTAATCGAAACGAGGCTATCTCCCCCTAGTGGGTGACAAGCTGATCTTTCCGGGCTAAAACGGAAGTTACACCTGTGAAGAGTCCTTATGATAAAAGGAAGCCTTACCAGGTTAAATGGAAACCAGGAACGTACTTAGGTCAACAACGATCTAAAAATAGCTGGAATGAACCATATAATGTATACTTACCTAGTACACACTACTGTGGGATACCGGAATGTTGTGAAAGGGTTCGGTACATAGCAGATCTTATTTTGATAAACGTGCCACCTTGGCGGACTGATGAACGCCACCCTTTCAGGACAGAGATCCTCCCATTTTTGGTTGGAGGTGATCCATGTTGACGTTTTGCTGTCAATGTGAAACATTTAGTACAGTTTTTGTTTTTAATTATAGATTAATATAAAATACTTTCACATTTAACTTTCAATACATTTATACAGCAACAAACACTTATTTTGAATGTATTACATTTATAAACTAAACTTGTATATCAATGTATTAAATAAAATTTAGTGAACACAAATAGAAGTATTTAAGGAACAATCAAAAGCTATGAGTGTTTCATTTCAAATTTTTTATTGTTCATATCTTAGATACAAAGGAATTGAGCTACAAGAAAAGTCTATGAGCGCCTTCTCCTTACAGTAATAAACAGTTTATAACGGAAACAAATCATTGAGAGCAGAGATTGAGTTCATAAGAATTTGCCTTTGAGTAGCATACGGAGAACAGTGGAGGAAGAAGTGATATCAATCCTCAACAGGAAAATTACATGAGCTAACAGGGGTATCAATTATGTGAGATTCAAAAATATCTGAATTTAGCTTGCTGGCACAGTTTTAACATAAGTGTTATAGTGAAGACATCAACAATACAAACAATGTGTTATCCATATATATGCACTTACGTTCTAGTAGCCAACTCTCCTTGCCGAATTTGTCTCCTGCTTCCACTAAAGTCCCTATGTTTATAAAAATACAATGTTCTGTTTCAAAGAGTTGTATTCGACGTTATATTTTTTGTATTTATTATTATCTTAAGTAATTCATAATATCTGCTTTCTCCGGCTTCAGTCTGTTAATTTATTTAATGGTATTTTCTAAGACGATTGAGAGGTTGGCCATCTGATCTTGTACCTATTTGGGTACCACTCAGAGTCTTTGGAAATTTGACAGGTGGCACTGAGTGACCAAGCTGATTGCAACATGATTGTGGTATTAATTATATCATAAAAAGGGTAGGAATAATGAGCTTAGCACAAATCCGTTAATTTAAAAAGTTTTTAAAACTGACAAATTTCACTTTGATTATTAAAGTGTGAATATTATGAACAATCCCGCAGCAATTTATACTAACTATCTGTCCAAAAAGAAGCATTTAGGCCAGTCAGATATTTTTATGTTTAAGAACAATTGTTGAAGTCACAATTTACGCAAAAAAATCATAAAAAATAATTGGATTTCGACACTTCGTAGAACACAAGGAAACTGAAAATTCTGAAACGAAATACAATAATACATATTCTTTTTAATATTAACTCGTTGCAATACCAATACTTGTATTATGCTAGTTCTAATGCCAATATAATAAAGGTTTTGGATTAAGTGAAATCTTACCTTTGGAATCCTCTCTCTGCCTTCACGATATCTGTTGTGTTGCGAACAAACCTTGTCGGGCCCGACATAGAGGTAAGTGGAACTACACATGGTTCTTCAATCAAGTCACCCTCATTTGGTGCTTGGCCCTGGCCCGGAGATACAAAAGCTAATAGCAAACACGAAACCTGTGGGAAAAACAACTTTAATTAGTGACGTCTCTATAGCTGGCAGAAATCAAAATGGGTTACCGACAGGAATATATCAAATCAATGTCATATCGCCTAGCAAACACGCATGCAATATGAGCAAAGCATTTCAATACTACTGGGTTCAACCTGATTTTACTAACGCTGGTGATTAGATTTAAATAATAATGTGCCCCTGCGTCACATACACTGTAGACTGGAAACAAAACATGCTAAACTATTTTCATGTAAAGGGTAGTATTTAAACGTCTAACTTTTTGTATCTTGTCTTGTTTCTGTGTAAAATCGAAAAGAAATTCTGGGGTTGCTGTGCGTTTTTCCCCCGTTATATCAATTTGAAAACATGCATTCTCTATTCTGATTATCTGACGAAATTTATCCGAGGAAAATAATGTAGACACCATATTTTGACAAAACTTAACCCTGGTGTAGAAACAGTCATTATCCTCCATAATATGAGAAGTGTTGTATAAACAATTTGTTGTTTATGTTATCAGTGACATATCCTTACCCATACCCCGAACTATTAAAGCTAAAGAATTTGTAGAAACATGAAAGTTTTTTCTTGTTTACATCCAAGCAATCAGTTGATGACAAGCTTTTACATTTCAATAAATTATCTTTATATTTCAAATCCTACATGTCGATGAATATTTTAAAATCTACATGTCAATATATTATGATGTCATTGACGCTAAATTGAAACGAGATTTAGCCGCGACTTTATAAATTGATACAACAGCCTTTAACAATATATACATACCTGTTACTAAATTAGCACAAAATGCAACAAATTTGGCTGAATTGTGGCCCTCAATTGAAATATGGAAACGGTTTCATTTCTCCTTTGTGCGAAATGAACCTATGAAGTAAGAAATGTTTGAAATATAGCTCTTTTCAGGTTAATTGCTATCTTAACTTACCAAAACATTCATTTTGAAAACAGCCAGCTCAAATAGCAGCAACTGAAACTGGTTTGGATTTACACCCCATTCTTTTTATAGAGACATTTGAGGATTTATTACTCCTCATCCTTTCTAATGTCTTTTTGGCCGCCCTATGGCTAAAAAATTTATCACGAATATAAAAACGATATTAAAGTGTTGAAGGTGAGAAAAACAACAGTAGAGATACCGATATAAATATGTTGACGACGCAGGTCTACTTAATACTGTTTTTACTGTACCGACAGACACTATAAACTTGATCTTTTTTAGAGAATATCTTAAAGAGAACAAAGGAATATGGTCACCATCTGTTCAACGACAGCAACATAATGCAATATACAGCATGTGTAACCAGTTATCTCAATTGAAGAAAGAAACATAAAGGTAAATCTATAAATATCGTATATTTAAGATATATACTATAGGTTGTGTGAGAAAAGTATACAAAAGCCAATAGGTGCTTAACTTTTCTAAGGTGATATACCTAATGCGCTTACGGCTTAGTCTGTAAATGGACACTAAATGGACCATATTAAGTAGAACTATCGATAGATCGACCTTCACCGTCACCAACAACAATCTGTTACCGGTCTGAATTTTTTTCTTCTTAAAAAAAAGATGAAGTAAATGTAGCTCCTTACTGGTCACTTAAAATGATGAACTAGTCATAGTCAATATCTACACTAGCTTGCATAAGTACGTTATTAGTATACAATTGTGTAAAGCATGAACATAATTACTCTTGAGTTTAAAGTGAACGTTTGGAGGTATGACGATGAAAACGTAAGGTTACAATATATATTAGTACATTGTAGGATGTAAGGAGAAACAGCATTGGCGGTAAGGACTGGCTGTCAATATAATGTGACCGGGTGCCATGATTTCGTGTCCAGGTTATGATATGGTCGGGTTTATCAGATTTACGTTTGTTTATTACATACTTACTGATAAATACGGGTTTTTTGTATATGCGATACGACACAATTGCTCTAACCCATATCAGCCCTCGCCGTATCACACCCCAAAACCCGTATCAGCCCCCGCCGTATCACACCCCCAAAACCCGTATCAGCCTGCAAAACCCATATCACACCCCTTTTGGAAAAAAACTCGTTTTTCAATATTTCAAAAATTAAAATAAATCATAAGTAAGTAGTTTTTATTAGTAAATATGTAATAAACAGAATAAAACACGCCTTTTTCCATATCACCCCCAGTATCAACCCGAGGCTGCAATATCCGCCCAAGGGCCGAAGACCCGAGGGCTGATATCGGTCTCGGGTTGATACTGGGTGTGATATGGAAAAAGGCATGTATTATTCTCTATGTATATAGAATATGTTGTCTTTGGATGGCATACATGTACTTAGACCTTCGGTCAGTCAGACACGCTGTGGGTTCTACGGCATCGGCTACTTGTCTCTATCTTGCTTGCAGCATGGTGGTGGTGGTGGTGGTGGTGGTGGTGGTGGTGGGAGGGGAGCACTTGCTTCTAAGCTGCAGGATAAGCCTATAACTAGTTAGTTTTTTTCCGCGAACTTCACCTTCCTTTAAAGAACATCTCTGTTATCAAACACGTCACACATTTTTTGATGTTCAAAGAGGTTGCTCCGAGTGTCACGACTTTCAAAAGCGTTGAAGAGTGATGACGGCGTCTTGAGTTTTATATTGGTGTCGGCTCTTTGTTTTGCATTTTCCTGGTTTAATCGTTAGAACTTCAAATACAAAGCAATTAAAAAAGCAAATTATCTGCAAAATACCTCTTTTAGAAAAGTTTGACAAAATAAGGTTGATTATATCATTACTTATTAAGTTCGATATATTATTAAAACGTTAAAACTTGATAGCTACCTCATTAAAATGTGTTGATAATCTCGTTAAAGCGATAGTTATTTCATTAAAACGAGAGAAATATCTCGTTGATCGCGATTTGTTGCTTGTTTATATTGCTGAAACGTAACGTTTCTACAACAAACACAAGTAAGTTACCATTATTTCCTAGCACGTTTTAGCAGGCTATTCAAATCAAATGGTGTCAGTGTGTTGTTTTTTGGCAAAATATTCAGATAATGAACACTCTTGACATAAGTATGGTGTTTTACCTTAGTAACCGAGATGAGGCATTGTTCGAAGAAATTGTCATGTGATATAGTTAATATTTACTATGTTTGGCTTCTGCATCAACAAACTCATATATTATAATATGTGTTTCCTTACTACTAGTTTTGAGTGATTGTTATCTGCAACGGCGTTCCTCCACAACCGGTGGGTATGAACTAGACTGCTTAACTAGATATCGTCTCTGACGCCTTTCCAAACTTTACAATATTTCCTATTCAGTGAATCTATTTAAAATTACATTATAATATTTGATATTGTGTTATATTTCATTTTTCATCGTGGCTTCAAATTTGATATTGTGGCTTACCATGTGCCTTTTTGACGTTTCATTTGACATAATGCATTCTCATTTGATATTTTGATATCACATTTGACAAGTGTGATTCCTCATTTGACATTTGATATCTCAATTGACATTTTGACATATCAGTTGACATTTTGACATCTCATTTGACATAATGCCTTCTCATTTGATATTTTGATATCTCATTTGACAGTGTGGCTCCTCATTTGACATTTGCTATCTCATTTGACATTTTGACATATCATTTGACATTGTGTCATCTCATTTGACATAATGTCTCCTCATTTGACATTTAATATCTCAATTGACATTTTGACATATCTTTTGTGTCATCTCAATTGACATAATGTCTCGTCATTTGATAATTTGATATCTTATTTGACATATTGTCTTTTCATTTGATACTTTGATATTTTATTTGATATTTTGCCTCCTCATTTAATATTTTGACATCTTATTTGACATTGTTGCTCCTCATTTGGTTTTTTGATATCTCAGATTGTCATATTGTCGAGATGTGATAATGTAATATGAGATATCAAACCCATAAATAAGTAGCTAAAATGTCAACTTAGATTTGAAATGACAGCCACAGTATCAAATGAGATGTGAACATGTCAAATCAGAAGGCATAATATGAAATGAGTAGCAACGATGTCACTTTCCTTCGTGAACTGGAATGCAAACCAATAAAGCTTTTCAGCGGTTATCCTTTAACACCTATAATGATGAGACTTGTATTCGAAAATAAAGGCCTTTTTTCGATATCGCTTGTACTTCACAATCTTGATAGAGAGCAAAAAAGGGAAACTATAATATCAAAACAACGCAAAGGATTATGTTTACCATTTTATATTATAATTGGCCCTTTCTACTATTCGATAGTGTTCATGTCATTATTGGTCAGTTAAACCTCTGCCACAACCAACGTGTCCAATCTTGGACACCCGTATCTGCAGCAGGTACAATAGCGGTAGGTGTAGATTGGATACAGTCTCTTCTTGAACTTTCCTACCGCTGGATCGGCGCAATAAATCGGGATGAAGTATGTTTTGGGTACATCCGGGCGACAGAAGAACAAAGGACGTTTGACGAACTGGCACGCCTTACTGAAATAACAAAGACAGTAAAAATAATACCGAAGTGTCCTAAATATCAATAAGAAAAGAATACAAAAATAATTTGGACATAGAACGTGCGAAGTGTAAGATAAGAGTACAGTATTACAGTTACCATAGAGAAAGTTCAACACATTAAATGTATTACTGCATTAAATAACTTTAAAATGAACGTTAGTAAGTGACGACTATATTTTTTAGTTTCAAAACCTGTAAACAAAAACGTGCAAACAGTGTCATACTCATACTCAACAGATACATTTCAATGTAAACAGAAGGGCAAAGTGAGTCATATATCACAAACATTGACATGCACATCAGCCAATGTAGTGTATCTTACTACCTGCAATAAATACAATATGCCGTATGTGGGTGAAACATAAATTACAGATCATTGCCCAACCTGGAATGAATCGAGACGACTGAAACAACAACTAAAGCTCGTTGCCCAACCTAGAAGGAATCGAGACTGCTGAAACAACAACTAAAGATCGTTGCCCAACCTAGAAGGAATCGAGACTGCTGAAACAACAACTAAAGATCGTTTCCCAACCTAGAATGAATCAAGACTGCTGAAACAACAACTAAAGATCGTTGCCCAACCTAGAATGAATCGGGACTGCTGAAACAACAACTAAAGATCGTTGCCCAACCTAGAATGAATCGAGACTGCTGAAACAACAACTAAAACTCGTTGCCCAACCTAGAATGAATCGAGACTGCTGAAACAACAACTAAAGAGCGTTGCCCAACCTAGAAGGAATCGGGACTGCTGAAACAACAACTAAAGATCGTTGCCCAACCTAGAATGAATCGGGACTGCTGAAACAACAACTAAAGATCGTTGCCCAACCTAGAATAAATCGAGACTGCTGAAACAGCAACTACAGATCAATGCACATTCTAGAATAAATCGAGACTGCTGAAACAACAACTACAGATCAATGCACATTCTAGAATGAATCGAGACTGCTGAAACAACAACTACAGATCGTTGCCCAACCTAGAATGAATCGAGACGGCTGAAACAACAACTACAGATCGTTGCCCAACCTAGAATGAATCAAGACGGCTGAAACAACAACTACAGATCAATGCCCAACCTAGAATGAATCGAGACGGCTAAAACAACAACTACAGATCATTGCCCAACCTAGAATGAATCGAGACGACTGATGCAACAACTACAGAACAGTGTCCAACCTAGAATACAATAAATCGAGACGGCGCTGGAAGTAAAGGTACTGGATATAACCAATCCAAAAAACCCACTACCGTCGAGGTATGAACGAACAATAAACGCTTATTCTGCGTTTCTTAATTCCCGGATATTTGACAAGCTGTTTCACTGATAATGGTCTGCTGACTCACACGCTTCCTGCTACTTGTCAGTGTATGATACTAACGTATGCTGCCTGATCAAGGAGACGAACAGTATGTTGAACGTTGAGTCAGTTTGTCACTTACTTGTGATTCTTTCTCTTACTTATTTTGTAATGTATCTTTCGTAAGAACACAACTTTATGCTATATTTACCTATTAAATAGATATTTGAGATTTTCTACTCCATATCCAATGTATCATCACTGGACAAATCGTCGTGTATTGTTTTGCTTGTTTACCTGGTATATTTTTAAATCTATGTCATTGTTCGCACACACATAGGATCATCTGTCAACGATGCGGTCAGTGTAAATTCTGCCTTCGGCTTACGCTAGCCGAGGGGCTTATTGTTTTTAAATATGAGGTATATCCTAATATATTTTTATTTTTTCTGTATTTTTTTGTGTCTCGATAAAGAAGCGGATGGCTCCGAAAATTGGACAACCTCATATGTACTACATATGAGTTACTTCCTTGCCACACATACTTTTGATGTATGCATAATATATGTTATACTCTGTCGATGGGAACACTTTAACATCGATATATACTTTCAATACACTTACTATATACACTGAATTGTAGGGTATCTGAAATTACGCCAAGGAAGTGGCGTTAGGCAAATTTGTCCACCGAACACGAACCACTTCTTTGGCTGAATGTAGGTCACTTTCTCTGGACACAGGTCATTCCAAGGCTTCTTCTCGGCGGCCCAGTTGGAAGTATTCCTGTCAGGGAAAAACCAAACTGAAGTAAACAATCTATACATTTACAATTTATAAAATCAGTACAAAAAAACCAAGATTGTTCAGGAAATTCCTTATCTTGTACTAAATATTGGTGATAAGCCACCTTATTTATACTTTTACATGTGCGCTTGTGTTTTGCGTATTTGTGTTCAGTTTCAAGATGAGACCGTACTACTATCGACATTTGTTTACATATTGCCATTTCAGTTAATGCTACCGCATAGACGCGGTAGTTCCCATACAATATAATTTTGTACTCCACAATGTTGCCAGAATGAAAACCAAAATAGCAATATTATTCCCGGTTGAGAAAACTACATAGAATTTGAGAGAGCCTTTTACGTCAGTATGTCAAGTTAGCAAGATCTCTTACAAACGGCCATGATGCAGACAGAACTGATGCAAGTGGCTGTTTAATTGACTGGCCGCGGAGACTCGATTTCTTGCGCATTGGTTTTTTTCTTTTTCATTTAATAACATTGGCACCAGTTTCTAATTTCAGTCTTCATCGTGTACAAAACAGAAAAAATCCAATAGGGAGGGGTGTCTTCCATATTCTTTATTAAAGATTAAATAATCTGCATTTGTAATTAATTTTACTAAACCAATACATGAGTTTGGTATAAAGAATGGCATACTTACATGGCTGTAGCCTGACGTCCTTCCCTAATTAAATTTTTTGGTGATCTGAACGCTCTATACGTAAAAAAAATAAACAAGTTTTAGCCGTATTAAGCATTTTTATAATAATTCTCAACATATCTCATGTCCAGACAAAAATGACAATAACTGTAATGTTAATTTGCTGAAACCAAGGAAAGTGTTAGAATTACTGTTGAGGGTTCAAAAAAGGAATTACTTCTTCCCTTAACGTTTTCGTTTGGGAAAAATGGTCGTATGGTACAAAAAAGATGTTTTGTTTGGCTTTCTTCATCAACAACATTTAAGAAGATGCTTCCCTAATTCCTTTTATTCATAAATTTACGTATAGATGTAGCAAATCTCTATAGATAAAGTCCTTTCTAGTTTAACATCGCGGTTCGACACAATGTATTGCTGATATTAACGATGTCGATTCTAATATCAATATGCATTGTTCTTAACTGTCGTAAACCGTGCCATTGAGTCGTTCTATCAATATGCATAGTTCTTTACTGTCGTAAACCGTGCCATTGAGTCGTTCTATCAATATGCATAGTTCTTTACTGTCGTAAACCGTGCCATTGAGTCGTTCTATCAATATGCTTGGAACATCGCACTAAGAAAGGACAATTTAGTACGGAAACGTTTGTCTTGTCTGAAGCTAAACAGCAGGAGATCAGAATATCATAAAAGGTTGAGTGAGGAAGTCGAGAACGGTCATTATATTAAGATCGTTTACATTTCATATATTGACGACCAAAGCTTCAAGCCAGATTCCCAGTCTCAGGTATTTTCTCAGTTATCAACAAACTTGTTGAATACATGAAAGTTTATTGCGATGTTGAAATATGTTTATAAAATCGGTGTTCCTGATGCTACAAGAAAACATCACATAAGTCATTTCTGATAATGGACATTTCGGAGGGGTTTGTTCTCAATATCAAAATACGGAGAAGCTTCCATATAGTTTTATAAAACCAGTTAATTCATGCATTTGATAAAACATGATAGTTTGCAAATATATTTACACACAAACTTTGTATAACTATTCCTTATCAGTTTTGTCAAGGCACTCTTGAGCATGCATTTGTTTTAGGCATCTTGTTTTTGCCCAATAAAAGATTAACTGAGGAGCATGTTGCACACAATAAAAACCACCATATAAACACAGGAACGATTTTTTTGTAATTATCAAATTAAACATTCGAAATGCAATTCAGCCCCTGATAATGTACATAATTATCAAATTAAACATTCGACATGCAATTCAGCCCCTGATAATGTACATAATATATCCAAAAAATCACTGTGGATGTATTAAATACTGCGCTGTCAACATATTTTTGTGGAAAGGTCGAACTTGCTTATGCTTTTTAATTCACTATCCAGTAGTGTATTCATCCTTTGGAAATAATCATATTTTTGAATTTTTCGATGCGCAAATATTTCACATGTTTACAAGACATCTTAATTGGTTTAAACATATCATTAAAATATTAAAAAAAAACAATATATGGCATCGCTGTTCTAAATAAATTTTAAGATAAATAATATGACAGAATTGAGTTTTTCTACAGACACATGTCTTTCGGTTTTAGATCGTTTTATTGTTGTTTCTTTCAATTGTTGAAAGCCTTGTTGTAAAGATATTATTTATGTCATCGCTCTTTACTAAGTTTTAGACAATGACTAACGAATTAATGAATTGAGATTGATGACATAGGTACACACGTCACTAAATGAACCAGAACATATTTGAACAGAAAAAAATAACAGCCAGTGTAGTACCTATTTGACTTGATCAAATGTCACCCATATTCATTTGCTGTAAGTATGGCCAAGTTATTACCTCTTTTATTGCACTAAGGGGAACTAAAGCAATGTTTGAGATTCCTCTTACCACCGGTTGGAGATAGATTTTAGTTGATCTTATAAGATTTAACGAGTTAATCGTAGCTCTTTGACCAGTACTTTACAATACCAATCATGTAATAATTTATGTAAACCACAGCCAGAGGAATATCACATAAAGGATCGTAGTGTTTTATAAGATATATGTATTTTTGCGATGGTATGTGTATGCCTTTATTCTAAAGTTCAGGATGGAATCAAGGTGACAATATACTACAAATGTAAATACAAGCAAGTCACATTATGTATTTATGGTATAAGTGAACAAATAGACGTGTTGTTGCTTTTAAACTAATTATACCAAAACAGCATCATAAATGTATATATAGTGTAAGATTTTCTTATTTTCAGAACTCACCTTGCAGCTAGTCTCATGTTTGAGCGTGTAGGTTTGACGAGGTCTGTGGTATTAGCCGTAAACAGCGTTACTGGAGACAATGTTGCACCTTTAGGGATTTCACATGTCCTTTCCAAACTGAGAGGTGCGGGTTCTGTGTCATTCTGGCCCCATACAACAGTCACGACCACCAACAGCAGACACGCAACCTGTATATTAGTATGTATACATATAATTACTGTTTCAGACCGGTCCAAAAAGTCATTAACACACCAATTAATGGAAAAGCATAACTGCTGGTCGACCTGGCAAGTTCAACACCTACCAAAATAAAAAACATTACTGCTGGTCCCGGCTCCCTGACATACCATTAGATGACACCCATTTTCCTACATCCTTATTTGTAACAGATGATATAATATAAACTTTATTTATTTTACAACAATTATGAAACAAGTTATTTCAACTTATATCAATCACTCGTGTTGTCCTGATGTTAGTGCGCTGGGGGTCTAAATGTGGGATAAAACCGGAGAACCCGGAGAAAACCCACGTGGTATGGCAGACCACCCAAACTTGTTCACGTCCGATCGGGGAACCGAACACCGGCCGCCTTGGTGAAAGGTAAGTGCGCTATCCACTGCACCAGCCGACCACCCAATATATGCAACATATATTTCATAGTCATGTGATGGTCAGTGATTTGTGATATTGACTCAGTATAATTGCAGGTAAATACTCACTTATGACGTCATTTTAATTATAACGTCACAATGCTCTCTGTCATATACAGTACAATTTTCATCCGTCCTACCTTCTTTAATTATTTAAACATTATATATTTACATTCTTGATGTTTGTTCTGTACATAAATCTACCAACTGAAAACAATTGGCATTATACCGTGAGTACGCTATGAATACAATGATTCTCCTGCAACTAGTCAGCTGATTTCACACACAATGACAACTTCATACTACGCATAGTACCGTTTCTGAGAGAAGAGATATCTCCCCTTCTCTGAGATAACGTAGTTGCAAGAAATAATAATAAACATTACAAAATCATAAATGTTGCACCATTGTACAATTATTATTCTCTTAATTTGAAATTAATGTGGTGTTTTTTTTATAACATTGTCATATTAAATACTGACTTCTGACTCGCAAACGGTTCCTCATGGTCAAGAACTTTCTAACACCCAAACGTTCGGCTGGGTTTTCCCCGTCGTGATATCAACTTGCACATTAAACCCAATGTAATGACACAAAGCACTTCATCCATCAATTTATCATCACTTACATCTTCAACGACTGTACATTTAACTTCAAATGAGTTTTATGCCTACTGCCGATGGGTGTCCTGGATGGTGACTATGGTGACCGATGATTTGAAATAGTGCGGACATAAACTATTTAAAATATATAATATGCAGTGTTTAAAGCAAAATGAAAACATTAAATAAGATCAATTTTCAAATATGAAAGGAATATCAAGTGTTGGTTAATATCAGATACTAGACATACATTTTCGTTATGGCTGTTCCTTTTTTATGGTTTTCTGTCAGATACTAATGTGAAAAATATTAAATTTACAAAAAGTGTTATACTTTTTTTTACATTTTACATTGCGGCAATGAATAGCAGTAGCTGATCGACATATCTTCTGAGGAGCGCTAACGTACTCCACAGGATATATAACATCTAACGTAACATTTAATTACTCATATTTCAATAATATGAACTTGAACCAGTGATATTTGCCTTGACTTGGTTTCGCTATCGTATTCACCTCAACAAACGCCCACAATTGAAAAATATCAAACTGATGTTTTTACCTTAAGGAATACAATTTTTATTCACTATAAATACAAGCAAGGTATGTCTTTATATTCTTCTCAGTATTGATAAAGGAAAAATTGAATATTAGATATACAAATATATACTTGGGGGGAAAAAGAAGTAACGCAACTTTGGTTTTGGCTTGATAACTTCACTTTTTGTTAAACCGAATTCAATGAAATTTGGTACATGTAGTACAATAACTCCTAGTACTGTCATATGGGTCCCGGCGGACATTTATGGGAGGCCCAAATACAGAACCTGGCCGTCCGCCTTTTATAAATGTCAAGCAACTCGGGCGTACGCATCTGTGTTCAACTTGAAAACTATTTAAAAACGAATATCTGTTGAGGTACAATGCACGACAACTTCATAAATAAAAAAAAGTAAGAAAAGAAAAAAATAGAATAGAATACAGCTCATGTTAGAAATTGACAGAGTACGGCCTATTGGTCTAATATTGCTTACTTTTGTCCGTCAGTATAGAGTAATTAATTATACTAGATATTGATTTCAATTTAAATATAATTGTGAAATAAGGCTAAAGTGGCATCAATACGATATTATTTTATTAACTCCATGGAAACGAAAACAAAATATCGAAATAGTGAATTCAAACTTACACCCAGCAGTAGATTGACTATGCACCATGATTTCTATCTATTTCATTGTCGAAATGAAACACCTAGCATTCCATCTTACAAAACCTATTCCATTAAAATGAATCGTTCAAAAAGGAACGTTGAAAGTTTTGAACTAAAATAAAACAAATAGTTTACTTACCAAAATGTTCATATTGTAGCTGTTCAGGGTTGAGTGTTGTCACGCTCACTAAGTCGACTTTATATACATACCTGATATAATGATTTTTATGACTCATTATCTAAATTATACATTTTAGTATAAGAGGATTGAGTTTTTGTATGTAGCTAATGTTCCGGTTCCCAATTTTTCCGTGTCGGTAAACTGCGTATGTTTTTTTAGCTACCATATGTTGCATAAAGGTGAACTGAAACGGTTGACCTTATCTGCCAACCTGAGCATTCTTGAGTACCATATATACTGTAAATAACCTTTCAAATATTCGTCAATTATGTTGATAGTCCTTCCAGACTGAAAAAAATGTTTGGCCTTTGGAAACTTATTTGTAGGTTTAATCGCCGGTATGGAGATTGTGGACAGCCCAAATCACACTGCCGTTCTCGTCATCCTCCTCGCTGAACGACCTTATGACTTCTTACCTCTAGAAAGGCCATCATTTAGGATACCATTACTTTATGTAATATAACTTTTCTATTTTTGAACAAAGAGTAACAACATTTATACTAATATTCACATTAGGTTTATTTTTATTTGTTTATTGATTTATTGCTTCTTCTCCTGTGGTGTTTGAAATCCGACACATGGCACCCAGGAACCATATTTTTGCTAGGGAGTTTTCACATGCATATTGGCAATTATGACGTTTTGAACCACTTTTAAAATAACCTACTTCACAAAAGTGAGACTCCCTGCTCAGCTTAATTTGCAACAAATTGATTTTATAACCACCGCTATCATTTGAGGATCAAAGCCCCGCTTACAACACATTTTTGTTTAATTTATGAATACATTATATCGAGAAATATGCGTATCATAAGTACATATGAGTATGAGTGATTGAGCATATGTGCATGCGTCCGTGTTCGAGCATGCCATCGTCCGTCCGTTCGTCCATCAATGGGTGTGTGAGTGCAACTGTGCGTGCACCCAAGTAACGTTAAGTGTTATAATGTGTTATAAATCAAATGTAATATGTTTCATTTTCACCACCTGTAAATATATTATAAGTTAAACTTTATTTTATTCAAATTACTTTGGTAATTAAGGTGGCAACAGTATCGAATAACTATTTGCCTGTAATATATACTTGGGAGAGGAATTAATATAAGCTCTAAGCTTGTTTTCCAATCCCTGTGTAATTATATGTATGCATGTTACATGTTGGAATATTGAATAAATACTGTTTAAACTAAAAAAAACTAAAACGAATATTTTCCCAATTGACATGTACCTGCGATAAGATAACTTGTATATAATGTTATATTTGTTGGGGTATTAACTTTGCACGTGTTATTAGCGAGAACATATTAACATCGTGCACATTTGCGTTTTTTTTTTATAATGTTGTTTTTTTACGCGAAATTACATTACATCATGCACGTGCTATTTACTGAGGGCAAAGATAACATCGTGCCATGCATATATAGAGCATGTGATATTGAAGTGACCATATTTGGATCCAACATAAGTGACAAGCTTATGAACTGTTGGATTACTCGGGTATTCTTATAGAGAAACGATATCGGTATATAATATAACACTGACAGGAAAAAGATAAGAGGTGGCTGAAAAGTGGTTCAACTATGAAAGTGGCGGTTGAATTATACGACAACTAGGTAAATGGCAGCTGGACAGCGGGGCAACTATGTAAGTGACACTGGATAGTGTGGCAATTATGTAAGTGACACTGGATAGTGTGGCAATTATATTAGTGACACTGGATAGAGGGAAATAAGGTAAGTGACACTGGATAGCGTGGCAATTATATTAGTGACACTGGCTAGCGAGAAATAATATTAGTGACGGCTTGGTAGTGGGGCAATAAATAAGACTAGTGACGACTTGATAGTGGGGCAATGAATAAGATTAGTGACGACTTGAAAGTGGGGCAATTATGTAAGTGACACTGGATAGTGTGGAAATTATGTAAGTGACACTGGATAGTGTGGCAATTATATTAGTGACACTGGATAGTGAGAAATAATATTAGTGACGGCTTGATAGTGGGGCAATAAATAAGACTAGTGACGACTTGATAGTGGGGCAATGAATAAGATTAGTGACGACTTGAAAGTGGGGCAATTATGTAAGTGACACTGGATAGTGAGAAATAAGATTAGTGACGACTTGAAAGTGGGGGCAATAAATAAGATTAGTGACGACTTGAAAGTGGGGCAATTATGTAAGTGACACTGGATAGTGAGAAATAAGATTAGTGACGACTTGAAAGTGGGGTTATTTCAATACTAACACTGAATAGTGGGGATTAAGGTTAGTGACGGCTGAATAGTGAGGAATAAGGTTAGTGACGGCTAAATATTCGGGTTATTATATTGGTGACGGCTGGATAGTGGGAAATTAGATAAGTGACGACTGGATAATAGTGGAATTATATTAGTGAGGCTGGATAGTGGAATATAAGGTTAGTGATTGCTTGATAGTTGTGCAATTATGTTACAATACACTGATTTTATGAATATAGCGTATTTTTTACATGTACCATATTTTACACTGCATTTCCCCAACTCTCTTCTAACTTCCCCTGTAATTTATTCACGTGACTATCCCTAAGCTATAGTTGATAATGTTGGTTATGATGAAAGGTAAAATATTTATATAAGTGTATTAACACTTGTTTCTGCCTCCAATTCATTTATGTATAATCATATTTGTATTATGTATTACATATGTTATGTGAATAAAACAAAGTTTAAACTAATTATATTAGTGACGGCCGGATAATGGGAAATTAGGTTAGTGACGGCTGGGTATTTGGGCAATTAGATTAGCGGGATAGTTGGAAAACTAGGTTAATAGCGACTGGATAATGGGACAACTGTGTTAGCGGTGACTGGATTCACGAGATTCAACATTATTTTAGTCCAATCACGAGGCTTATTATTTCTGCTTTGGCGTCATTGGTAAGTTGATGTTGATTTAGATTTATTGTTTTGTTTTGTATTTTATAAGATCGTTTGGCGGAAGTAACATTGATTGGGAATACCTTTTATCTTATATATCGCAGCAGAACTGTCTTGAAATTGTATTTGGTGGTGCTGGTATATTATATTCTCATTCGGATGTGTTAAATTTGCTTGAAGCTTATTTTTTGCTTGGTTGTCGAGAAGAAATAAGAAAAAAAGTAGATTTTGATGGGGGTTTTCTATGTAAATTGATTGATAGTTAATATTTCGTTTCTTGGTAAAAACAAATCTGAATAACATAAATAAAATTATTACTTTTGTTAAATGGTAAAATATATTATTCCAGTATTTTTCTATAACTGCGGACTATATAAGCTCTTTTTTTCAACTTTGTTGTTTGTTTTTGTTTTATTATGTAATTTGGAGTTTAGTTTTGTTTATAGAGTAACAAACAAACACTTTTCTGTTACCAGTTTTATTGTGTATTGTTCACAGTTCCATCAGCCGTTGCTGATATCGATAGACAACATGAGATGTATGTCTGTATCTTTATTATCTAACAGCGATACCGGCAGCAGGAACAGCATCGGTAGGTATGTATATCATACTCTTCCCTAACAAACTTGGTACCCTTCTTGTTCAAGCACCATATACAGATAGTGTATTTCTTGTAATTTTGAGGCCGGCAGAAGGCACGTTCTCCTTCTTCAATAGGGCTCACGCCACGACAAGGGGTACTGCAATAATAAATAAAAACTGGTCAACAATACGGAGAAAACAAAAGTTGAAAATCAAACAAAATAAGCAAAATATTATTACTAAACAATGTTATAAAAATATGTTCTAACAACGTATTCCTTAAACTCTCAAATAAGTTATAATAGAAAACGTTTTCAACACATTATGGTTCTGCTACAATAAACAGTTACTTTACCATTTATAGAGACTGTAAATTCCCTGGCTCACGTGTTGACGTCATCATTATAACGTCTTCGATGTTGTCACTTTAGATGGCATTAACTCTCAATAAAAGATAGCTGTTCTCTCAATTGAACCATCACACACATTACAACATAAACTAATTTGAACTGTATGCGGAATCTTTTGAAGACAATTTGAACTTCTGTGTTATTGAAATATCCCAAAATTGGTAAATGTTAGCAAAACATTGCTTTGCTGACAACCATTATGATGTTTGCCTGCAAATCTATGGCATTCCTGTAGAATGTAAATGCCTTATAAACCCATCCAGTAACACATTATAAACATTTGTCGTATTAAATCACCAATATTGATTAGACAGATTAACTACAAATACATCTTGTGGGGGACATGTTAGAAATAAGGCTTTGATGTAGACAGGTGACTGTTGGTAACATTCTGAAAAGTGACTGTATCATTGACAGTTGGCTGTTAGAGCTAGGGCTGTATATTTAGATAATTGTCGGGTTTCTTTACGGAATGTAACTTCAGATATATGTTCGGTTTGTGTACAGAAATATGTAGGTGTACTTACACTTGACATTCAATAGTAGGGTAGGTGTAATCTCGGAATGGTTTCGGTGTGTAACATTTCCTGCCCTTCACTGTGTGCCACGTGGGGATCGTGATATTACGAGGTTTTCCAGAACATACACTTAACCATCGTCCGGGTTTGGCGATCCAGTCCGCAGGATTGCTGTAGCATACGGTAATAAATGTTTAACTCTATTACACTCAGTGACACATTTTCTCTACAACATAATTATATCAACAAATGAAGCGATATGCTTTTAAAAAACTTTGTTACACATTAATAAAAACAAATTATGGAAATCTCATGAACAAAAACTGAAGTAAATCTATAAAGAATTTGGTTTGCAACTAGCAATAAAGAAAAGGTGATGATGAGCTAACCTAACATCTAATACACAAACAGATCTCTCAAATGTATACGGAAGTAAAAATGTTTTACCTTTAAAAGAGATTGTGAAAATCTAAATGAATAAACAGATATAAAAACTTATATTTATATAAAATAAACATATCTTTATACAAATTTGAAAAAAATACGAAATATGAATTAATGTTATCTTAGAAATAATATAATGATAATGGTATGATGTATTGTACTTGATATTATGAACACTTTTGACTTCAATTGTAGGAGATAATCAGGAATATATAAAAACCATACACAAACTGGAACTAGACTTAAAAAAGACAATGTAAAAATATTTATCGTCTGTTATGTGGATCAAGATTGAGTGTAACAAAATGATTTTACTGTTTGTACAACCAAATGTATAGGACCAAAGAGCGATACTTTTTCAATAGAAAATCTACATTCAGAAAAGGATCTTTCAATGAAAACGCTTTTCAAATTGATAAAAAAAGATACAAAACAATGCATTCAATTTTATAGAGTTTAAAATGAATGACGTCAGTGTTGCTTCAAACATACTGCTTTATTATATGAGTATAAAGTACAGGGGGAAATGAGGACCAGGAGCGGATAAATACATCACGGAAATAATATCCCTTGTTACTTGTTATCAACATATCCGGATGTTTATCCCTTCTCGCCTTTAGACCGAAATGTGGGTCAAGCCTGTTAACAACAGATGCCCCTCCCTTATCCCGCTTAGAAATGAGAGATTAGTGCGTTATCTGCTAAGCCAATTGACCACCCAATATACACTTTATTATTTACAAAAGCCATGTTTTCCAAAATAGAAAACATATGAAGAGCAACTGTGTTTACACGCCAATAAAATGAGTAAAGAACATGTTCTAGCCGGTGACGTAACAATTGGCATAGGAATACATGTACACAAGTCAAAAGTCCCCAAGGCTCATTAATGTTAATAAACAAAAAACACCTGATGGTATTAGCAAATAGAAACGAGACATTTAAATGATATTAATTAAGTTTGTAAAAACATGTGAAATTCTATAAAAAAAAAATGTTAGCAAACGTGCGTAGTTACAGTCGAGACTAATGAACTGCCCAGAAACGATCTATCAGTGCTACACTTCCATCAATGAGGTCCGGCCGAAACACATTCGCCTCGGAAAGTGACACAAATAATATGCCTGGTATCCTAAACAATTCGGCAGTAACCCGTCGACATTTAACTTCAGTTCTCTCTTCAAGTGCAATCGACGTCAGGAATGCTAACTAACTCGATCTTTGAAAATTGCACGTGAAACATTAAAATGATAGCTCGAATAACAACAGGAAATACCGACTTGACGTGCAGTTTTGATCAGCTGTTTATTTCCCGCCACGTCGTCCAAGATGCATCAAGTTCTACACCCGCAGTTAAGTTTTGCTTTTTTGTAATTGTTGCATAGAAGCTATTGTTTTTTTAAAATAATTATTGTAAAATTGTATTTTTGTAGCACAAATTGTTACATTTTTCTGATGTATTTAAATAACGGAGTTGCAATAGAGGAACTATTTTGTTTTATTTCGAAGCGGAAAAGTCGGCGGAGTCTAGCTGTCTTGGCAGTTGTTCCCGTATTCAACCGAATACATCGTCACTTTCATTTTCGAATTCAATGACTATTGAAATGGATTAACTAACGTTTCTCTTTATGTAAATGAAAATGATGATCTTTTAACTTTTCTTTGTTTATGAGGAAATAAATCAAGAAGAGCACGTCGTAAATTATTTTCGCGTTCATGCCATTTACAGTGTGTTCTACTTGATTTAGTACCTCATAAACAAAGAAAAGAAAAGTTCACAGATGATCCTCATATATATTGTGTACATATAAACGAATGACTACTCACATTAGACTGGCGGCTGCCCCTTCCTGTATTGCTGTGAACCAAGGGTTGTTCTTCTTTACACGACTGCAAAAATGATAATTTAAACATCAGAAATATGTACCAATTGTATACTTAGATATCCGTATGATATATCACTGTGATACATATATGTATGCTATACAATGTAATACCTAGATATCCTCATTATATATCACTGTGATACAGATATTATCATATACAATGTAATACCTAGATATCCTTACTATATATCACTGTGATACAGATCTGTATCATATACAATGTAATACCTAGATATCCTTACTATATATCACTTTGATACAGATCTGTATCATATACAATATAATACATAGATATCCTCATTATGTATCACTGTGATATAGATCTGTATCATATACAATGTTATACCTAGATATCGTTATTATATATCACTGTGATAAAGATCTGTATCATATACAATGTTAAACATAGATACCTTTATTATATATCGCTATGATACAGATCTGTATCATAAACAATGTCACACCTAGCTATCCTTATTATATATCTCTGTGATACCGATCTTTATCATAAACAATGTCACGCCTAGGTATCCTTATTATGTATCACTGTGATACCGATCTTTATCATATACAATGCCACACCTAGGTATCCTTATTTTATATCACTGTGATACCGATCTTTATCATATACAATGCCACACCTAGGTATCCTTATAATATAGCACTGTGATACCGATCTGAATAATAAACAATGTCACACCTAGCTATCCTTATTATATATCTCTGTGATACCGATCTTTATCATAAACAATGTCACGCCTAGGTATCCTTATTATATAGCAATGTGATACAGATCTGTATCGGTGATATATAATAAGGATCCCTAGGTGTGACATTGTATATGATAAAGATCGGTATCACAGAGATATATAATAAGGATACCTAGGAGTGACATTGTTTATGATAAAGATCGGTATCGCAGTGATATATAATAAGGATTCCTAGGTGTGACATTGTATATGATACATATCTGTATCAGTGATATATAATAAGGATAGCTAGGTGTGACATTGTTTATTATTCAGATCGGTATCACAGTTATATATAATAAGGATATCAAGGTGAGACATTGTTTATGATACAGATCGTTATCACAGTGATATATAAGAAGGATATCTAGGTGTGACATTGTTTATGATACAGATCGTTATCACAGTGATATATAATAACGATAACTAGGTATAACATTGTATATGATACAGATCGGTATAACAGTGATATATAATAAGGACACCTAGGTGTGACATTGTTTTTGATACAGATCGGTATCACAGTTATATATAATAAGGATACCTAGGAGTGACATTGTTTATGATAAAGATCGGTATCGCAGTGATATATAATAAGGATTCCTAGGTGTGACATTGTTTATTATTCAGATCGGTATCACAGTGCTATATCATAAGGATACCTAGGTGTGGCATTGTATATGATAAAGATCGGTATCGCAGTGATACATAATAAGGAAACCTAGGTGTGACATTGTTTTTGATACAGATCGGTATCACAGTGCTATATCATAAGGATACCTAGGTGGGACATTGTTTATGATACAGATCTGTATCATAAACAATGTCACACCTAGGTATCCTTATTATATATCACTGATACAGATCTGTATCATATACAATGTTAAACCTAGATATCGTTATTATATATCACTTTGATACATATCTGTATCATATACAATGGTATACCTAGATATCCTCCTTATATATCACTGATACATATCTGTATCATATACAATGGTATACCTAGATATCCTCATTATATATCACTGATACAGATATGTATCATATACAATGTTATACCGCGAGACAAGTAATACATATCTGTGTAATAATGTTCAGTATACCAAGTGAAAATATCGGCATATTCCGTTTTTCGGTGAAATATATCTAGTATTCAAGGGGAAAACCACTTTTGTTCTTTTTTCGCATTATAAATCTACATTTAACGACAAAATAAAACATTTGGAAATGCAAGAGCATAATTTCCGGCGCTATATGCTGCGCCGGTCCTGCTCAGCCCCGGTCCCAGTGAGAGACAGCGCAGCTGTCTGACGCCACTCGACGTGGGAGATACATTTGCTTATGGGTGCAAGCTGGACATCCATTAAGGCTGTGCGCTATTTTGAATGGGATAGCGAACACAATTCTATCGTTTTCTGTTTTAATATGAAAGATTTCTTACATAAACGTAAATCTTTCTTTGTAGGAAAGATTTGCAAAAGCAACTATTCATTCTTCCGTCACTTTCTTTCTATCTGAACAGAAAATTGGTAGCTTTGTATGAAGTGAATAAAGTATGCAGCGCTGATTTATCAAAACCAATATTGGTGTTTCAATGCTATGACAATTATCAATTGTATTCAAATCACAGTGTATAATTTGATGTAATGATGAGATAATACCAATATATCCAGTAATACAAGATAGTGTTTATAATATGTATCAGATTACTACATTTTTGTTTTTTCACGTTTACGATTCATCACGCGACATCACGTGTCACAAATCTGTGGTTATGAAACATTCACTTATATCATTTAACTTTGCTCCGAGCTCTCTATCAAAAGTCTATATTATCTATTGACAATCAATATCTTACGTCTTAAACTCCTTAATTCCTTTGCGGGTTTCTGATGCTGTTCCATTAGTAAACACCGTTTCCACGTCTTTGGGTGGTAGAGGACACTGGGGACGGATCTGTGCATGAGACAACCCTACCCCGGCGAAAACCAACAAACTCGTGATCTGTACAAATAGTAACAAAAATATTTTTAAAAGTTATACTTTCCATCTTTCTTAAATTTACATCAATTATGAAGCAAGGTATTTCAACTAATAATAATAAATCTTTTCAGCTCGGATCGATGACCACAGATGGTCTTCATATGGGAGGAAACCGGAGTCCTGGGGGGGAAAACACCTGGTCTGGCATGTGAGCCAATACTTTTCACGTCCGATTGGTGAGAAAATCATATAAACTATCACACATTAAAACTAAAGATGGATAAGCCGCTGACAACCTTATTATTTTGGCATTTGATAACGTTATGTCCATAGACTTCAAGCTTTTAATGGTACCGATACAAAATGTTAAGTATCGGCGCTGAATCGATTACTATCACTTTAGTCCTGCACTTACAAATTAATGACTATTTCAATCGATAAATTATTCTGATATTATTCTGAGATCATATTTTTTTTATATTTTTTTTTAACATTATTTATCGTCGTTATACATTTTTTTTTATGTTTTTCTAAACAGCACACAAAAAATAATCCATTGATCTACTGCATAGAGAGTATTATCTTGTTTCCCGTTGATCATTGTTTACCGTTGAATACCATATATACACTGTAAGTCAATTAAATGTTGAATGTCAGTATTTTCACAAGTGTGAATCAGTTTATCACGTAAGATAAATATATATGACATTTTTAAACAAAAGTTTTCAAAATAAACGGGCAGGCGCGTAGCTACCATGTAAGCCAATAAGCCCGGGCTTGCACATGGTTTTGACAAGTATAGGGTTTCATGACGGCTTTTTTTTAAATGACGAAAACTGTCTTCTGGAGCCTGCCCAATTACAACACAACAGAATTTTAAAAAATTACGGTGCTTTGTATTTTTTTACTTTGTCAGATTGCGCATAATAATACCTTCTAAATGGACGTATATAAAACTAAAATTTAACTTTCTTCCATGTCCACAAAATGTGCATGAAACCAGAAGACGAAACGGTGTCGGAGACTGCAAAGCTGGGCATGACGATGATAGTGGGGCAACCTCGCTTCTCTAAATGCCCAACAAATAACAGGAGCAAGTATAAGGAACCAATCACAAAGCACAAACAGAAGACGAAACTGTGTGGGAGACTGAGTAAAGGTGACAGTGGGGTAACCCCGCTTCCCAATTAACTCGGATCAGATTATGAGAAAGACAAACCCAATTGCATGTTCACTAATGCAGAAGTATCAAATGCATTTATCAAGATTAGGTAAAAACCAGACAATGTATGTATGGAGGGTGTACAAAGCAATACCGACGGTTAATATTCAGAATTATATATACACTGGATCCACGTAAATAGGTATATATATATACCAAAAATAGGACTTTTTTTCTTGCGGATTTAAACGAAAAAACAGACATCAGGACGTGGGCAATGGCTCCGGAGACGTTCTAGAAAACAAAATTTTCATGGGGGAGACCCCAAGAGACGTTCTAGAAAACATAATTTTCATGGGGGAGACCCCCTAGACCCCCTTACGGGAGGGGGAAGACACCCTCCCGTACCCTCCACCTGCTCGCGCTACGCGCTTCGGGGGGAGCTGCCTTCGGCAACCCCATGTCGGGCTTTCACATGGTAAAGGGGCTAGCTACGCGCCTGACGGGACTGACAATATAAATTTTGAATTAATTGATCAATTCAATTTGCCCATTCATTAGTACGTGCAGTATTGCTAATATACGTCGAATAATAAAAATAAAAATATGCAAAACGAGAAACATATCGACATGTACACTATGCATAATACATGCAATTTTACACGAGGAATAGGCATCTGTTTGATGCGGATATCTACATGTACGTGTTTATCGGAAACAAAAAATGAACACCAAACAGTCGATTGTCACTGCATAGCGATTATTGTCGGGATTATTGTCCGGGTAAATAATCAAAATACAATATTAAAACGTAACATTGAATGTAAAAATTTATAAACATCATTTAACAAGCTAACATGTCAAAAAAAAGAACGCTGAAATTGTGAATGAAAAACTCGAAGAGCTTACTTACCACAAAGTTCATGTTGTAGTTGTTCAGCCTCGAATGTTGTCACGCTAACATAGTTGACTATTTTTATAGACTTGACATTGTACGCTTCATTACCCACATAGTACATTTTACTCTAAAAATATCGCATTTTTTAATATTGCTCATGTTCAGGAGTCGTAATTCTTCCAGGTCAGTAAGCTGAGCATGTTTTATTTGATTTAGAGAGTTCCGTAAACATATGTTACACATATCAGTGCAATGTAATAACTGACCCTTTTTGCCAACCAACCTGTAAAAAAACCTATCGTTTTCCTCACTCTCTCAACTCTGCCTATTCTAAGATAGGTGCAGAAAAGACTTCATTTCCACACACTTAGCACCAGGAGCAACATTAGTGTAAATGTATTTTAAGAATATTGCAATAAACCGTTCAAATAGGCAATAATTTCGATGAAATCGTATTCGGACTAAGAAATTGAAACCAAGTTTGTTGCTATGGTGACCATTATGCAGATTGTGAATTGCCCGAATCACATTATCGTTCTTGTCTTTCTCGCCCAGAGATCTTTTGACTACCTACAAGTGTACAACTCCAAATCCAGAAATGCAATTAGATAAGTGACGGCTGGATAGTGGGGCAATTATATTAGTGAGTCTGAATAATGGGATATAAGGTAAGTGACGGCTGGATAGTGGGGCAACTATATTAGTGAGTCTGAATAATGGGATATAAGGTAAGTGACGGCTGGATAGTGGGGCAACTATATTAGTGAGTCTGAATAATGGGATATAAGGTAAGTGACGGCTGGATAGTGGGGCAACTATATTAGTGAGTCTGAATAATGGGATATAAGGTAAGTGACGGCTGGATAGTGGGGCAACTATATTAGTGAGTCTGAATAATGGGATATAAGGTAAGTGACGGCTGGATAGTGGGGCAACTATATTAGTGAGTCTGAATAATGGGATATAAGGTAAGTGACGGCTGGATAGTGGGGCAACTATATTAGTGAGTCTGAATAGTGGGATAAAAGGTTAGTGACGGCTTGATAGTGGGGCAATTATATTAATGAGTCTGAATAATGGGATATAAGGTTAGTGACGGCTGGAGAGTGGGGCAATTATATTAGTGAGTCTGAATAATGGGAAATTAGGTAGGTGACGGCTGGATAGTGGGGCAATTATGTTAGTGACACTGGATAGCCAATACGACTGCCCCATTTGGTAACCAATAAGTCTGTCCCCTTTGGTAACCAATATGTCTGTTCCCTTTGGTAACCAATATGTCTGCCCCCTTTGGTTAACCAATACGACTGTCCCCTTTGGTTAATCAATATGTCTGCCCCTTTGGTAACCAATATGTCTGTCACCTTTGGTAACCAATATGTCTGCCCCCTTTGGTTAACCAATACGACTGTCCCCTTTGGTAACCAATATGTCTGTTCCCTTTGGTAACCAATATGGCTGCCCCCTTTGGTTAACCAATACGACTGTCCCCTTTGGTTAATCAATATGTCTGCCCCTTTGGTAACCAATATGTCTGTCACCTTTGGTAACCAATATGTCTGCCCCCTTTGGTTAACCAATACGACTGTCCCCTTTGGTAACCAATATGTCTGTTCCCTTTGGTAACCAATATGGCTGCCCCCTTTGGTTAACCAATACGACTGTCCCCTTTGGTTAATCAATATGTCTGCCCCTTTGGAAACCAATATGTCTGTCCCCTTTGTTAACCAATATGTCTGCCCCCTTTGGTAACCAATGTGTCTGTACCCTTTGGTTAACCAATACGACTGTCCCCTTTGGTAACCAATATGTCTGTTCCCTTTGGTAACCAATATGTCTGCCCCCTTTGGTTAACCAATACGACTGTCCCCTTTGGTTAATCAATATGTCTGCCCC